CCATAATTGGATGGATGCATCCAAGTCATGGTTTATAAAGCATAATAGCAAAGTTTAATGTACTAAAGCAAAAGCAAAACAAATCACTTAATTTAGAATGATGCACAAATGTTTATGGCAAGTATATTCCTTTCTCCCTCTGTCCTCTTTTCTCCCTTCCTTTCCCTTCCCTTCCCAGAAGGCATGTAAGTGCAGTGTGAGTGCAGAGGAACTGGAAGAGAATCCACAAGTGGGGGAAACTTGCTAGTCTGCCAGGTTTCCCATTGACTTTCTCCCTGCAAGCGTCCTAGGTAGGAAGTTGCATGTCCAAAGCCAGCAGACAAGAAGTGGCTGATGCAAATGTGCAAATTGAGTGCACTTGCAACTTCCCTGCCTGAGTTGTCCATTGACTTTCTCCATGCAAGCTTATCCATCATGATGAACATGTGACCACAGTTGGGCAGTGGTGGTGCTGAAGCAGCAACAACTTCCCCAACTTTCATTCTCACAGGAGTCATGGGTCCTCAATTGTACGTAATGAATCAAACAAACACAAGGGTTTTAGTAGTATATAGGTGGTCAAAACCATCTATATATTTGAGAGTAGCCAATATGGTAGAGATTGCTTGATCCTTGCCCTTCTTTTTCATGCTTACTTATACAGATTACCACCTGTGTGGAACCCATTTATTTGGGTTCCCTACTCACTAATTTATTTGGTTGGCATCAAAGATACATTACAGAAGCCTGCAAAAATAATTCTGGATTCACCACAAATCCTTCTAGCCCTACTTTTTTTTTATTACTGGAACTCTAAACATCAATATTATGGAATGATAAGCCTCATTTCTACCTAAAAATGATTAACAATTCACTACCTTCAGCTATAGGTGCCTACAGGCCTCTCAAATTGTATAATTTAACTGCATGTTTCCAACACTTCATCTCTACATGAGGTAATTTGAAATGTAGAAGTATCTCCTCACTTCACAAACAATAGGAAATAGAATTTTGTTATAGTCAGAAGTGAAAGGCATGAGACAAGCAAAAAACAATGTTCCAACTACGGGTATTTCAAGGAATTGATATGGCATCTTTTTTTCAAAGAATTCAAGATGATATCATTGTTCTGCCTCTCTAATATTATCCTCACAATATGATATATATAATGTTTTTATTCCAAAAGACTATAGGTTGTAGAATAAAAGAGTACATGGGCAACAGTTGAAGTATACACAATGTCCCACTTTACAAACTTCCTCTCCCTCTGTCCTTCTCAGAAATCACTGCTAATCAGTAGTATTCTGTAGACATTAGTAAAAGCAGTTTGCAGACAGCTGATCATCTAATTGCTAGTTACAAGAATGACTAAGGCAAAGCTGTCCAGTTAATTTTGAGGCAAACCAGAGATTTATAAAGGAGGAGGAGAAAATAATAGGTATTGTTGAAGTATAAATAACAACTTTTCTGGTGTTAAAGTCATTAGATGTTCTCATGGCACTCTTTCAGCTTTCACGCAAGGTTTAGTATGACACTAACCTACTTTTAGCATTATTTCATCTTACATGTTAATCGTGTCTGTTAGAAATATACATTCATATAGTTATGCAATATGCAATCATATGATTTACGTAGGTTGACAATATAATGTGCAATTCGAATTCTGTTGTGCTGAATCAACCTGAGTAGCATCAAAGAACCAAAACGTCAAGAGGTAATTGCAGTATCTGTCACTTCTGGCTGACACACCAGGGAAGGTACACACCCCAAAGGAAAATGCTACTGACAGATCAGAACAGAAGTTCAAGGATGATTCAGAAATGCTGGGTCCCTGTTTGTTGCTAAGATTTCCATGAAGAAAAAAATTTAATCAAAGAAACATTTAAATACAGGGTGAGTCAGGTACAAATTTTACATATATAGGTAATCTTCAATATATGAGAGTAATTAGGACTAGAATTTCCAACACTAATAAAAGACTGCATCAGTTAGCAATGACTCCTGGTTGCCGATAACTGCATTCCCACAACATTTAGGCTAGGCAGCTTCCTGCCAGTTTCCCACAACTGAAGTCAGTGGGAAAGCTGGCAAAAAACTGCAAGACCCAGGTATACAATCAAGTAAGTGGCTGCTGCTGGGTGGGGAAGGAAATAAGGGTGTGTAGGAGGGTCAGGGAAAGTGCACAAAAGGTGCAGCAAGGCATGAGGACGGTGCAAAAGAGTGTGAGGAAGGGATAATTAAATTTAATGTATTTGATTTAGGCACTATCCAATTCCAAATGACTCTGGGTGATTCACAATACATGCATGAGAGATGCAAAAAGCATATCAATGGATATAACTTCCAAGACATGGACATTTTTGAGCACTAGTTTCATATCCTATAAACAAAGAAGAAACTAAAAGTAAACAATATAAATATCTATAACAGGACTTTTTTTTTGCAATTTTGCAGTGTGGCCCCTAATGATGCTCAGGAAAATAATTTGTATATAAGTAAAATTATTCTTCAGGATCCTTGAAAAGTTAAATGTGTTTCATTTTGCTAAATTATCTTGCATATGTTATAAAAGAAAGTAGACATAGTCCAATTTTCTACCTTTGGAACTAGGATGCTTGTTTCCAAATAAGAATGAGTGTTAATTTTCAAGACTGACGGAAAATAATTAGTGATCTCCAAGGAAAATAAAAGGTTAAATATCATTTTCACAGCATTTAATTAAAATAGCATCACCAAACTTTCCTGTTATTTCCACAAGGAAATAGAGTTAGCCTTGAAAATGTTCTATTTAACTAAACTACTGATAGTTTATCTATCTTCCTTCCTCTGCAAAAACACTTAGGTTCATATTTAAATTTTAGTTTTTGACTGAAAAATATGAATGTTATAAAAATGTTCAGAAGATTAGGTTCCACTTTGCCACATATTGTCATATATTGTGCCTAGACCTAAGATTGTTAGTTGTTAAAGACCAGGCCTTTGCAGAATTTTTACAAAGTGACATTTATTCCTAAATTTAATCAAGGGCTACAAGTACATGCTATCTTAAAATATACAGTATAGAATGCTTTTATTATTTAATTTACAATACCTGTAACATCTTAGCACTACATACAGACACTCCTTATTATCACAGCAGGTGGCAGCATCTACCTGACCTTGTCTAATCTGAGAAAAGCTAAACAGAGTCAGATCTGGATATGACTTACAAACAAGTCTATTGTACAGAAAATCCAAGGGCTCTATGTAAATTAATTAAAAAGTGTTTTAAAATATAATGGCAAATTATGTCCATATTTTTTTCAAGCAAACATGTTCAGGTAGTCATTAATAGTCAAGGTCAACATAATGGGAACTTTATTTGTTTCCATTGTTATATTAGGTACATTTCTTTATTTTAGAAATGTATAAGGCTGCCCAACTCGAGTGACATACAGTAAAAACCATTATACAATATAATTTTTTTAAAAAGTGCCATTAAAAGATGGAAACGTGCAAGACTCACCACATAGTCTAACCTATGGAAAGAGCAGTGGTGAAAATTATTTATACCCAAATTACTGCCATTTGAGCAAAAAAGCTGAAAGAAACTAATTGCACAATAACGAAGGTTTCATTTCCGTTATTCTAGCATAATACTAGATGACTTGAATTTTTCCTCATCAGCTAAATTCATCAACATGGCTGCAGTCCTATGATTACTTCTTCCTGAAATAATTCCCATTAAATGCAAAGGGAAATCATTTCTCCTGAGGAAATCCTATTTTTGTTTTCTACATGAAAGAAGCCCTAATCGTGTCTTTTATAGACCAAATATTTTTTACCATTTTACTACATGGTATGGTATTATGAAAGAATACTCCTCGGTTCTCTCAAAACCATAATTTTAAAAATATAGTAACATCCATGTAGTTTCCAAGTTCAATTGGAAAATACCTTTAGCCTGTTAGACTTCTTTCTGCAAATTTCACCTTCATCCCATATTAAGTACCTTTTTAATTGCATTCCATCCATTCCCCCCCTTTGTGGCCTTATCCACAAAGTCTGGTAATTTATCTCTAATCAGATGAAGCTGAAGGGCTATGGAGAAAATGTTGCTTGGGTTGTTATGGCCAGCTGTGGTAGTGTAAGAGTAGACTTTAAAAAAAAATGAAATAGTGCAGCCTGACAGGAAAAAATGAAAGAGCACAATGTTCTTATGATATACTGATAAAATCTTGCTGAAAAAGCCAGATATTGTTGATCAGAACACAAAGCTAACTAGGGTTTGATTATTTGTGTACAGTAAACACACACTGAAAAAGGCTCACACCGCAGACAGCTAATTCCGCTAAGAAAGCAAAGTGGATGGATGGTACCAGGTTGACTTAAGAAGCTACGCTGTACTTTCTGTTTACTACAACTAAGAGCTGTCAGTGTCCCTTTAAACGGCGTGTCAATCCGGCCGTCCCTTGGAACCGCTTCGCCTGCTCTTTCCAGCATTGCTTTTAAAGCAAAGCGTTGAAGTCCCAAAAGCAGCCGATCCCCCTTTTCTATCCCAGCCACCTTCCCCTTGTATGAAGTGTTGTCTTGTTCTTCGCACGCTACACACAACCCGTCCAGTCTGCAGTTAACTCCAACTGAGTTAGACGCCAGAAGAACCCAACCAATCGACGGAGCCTGGGTTCAAATTACTAGAGAAAAGCGGCTTGGGGGTGGGAGGGGGGAGCTTCGTTCCTGCGCAGGGCGGCGGTAGTTGTTTCCCTCTAGCTGACCGGGCGAGCGCTGAGGCGGAGCCAGCGCAGGAAAAATACAAACCGGCTCGGTTACGCCAAAATGTCATGCCGCCGAAGAATCTCGGCGCCCAGAGAAAACTCCCCTTGTTTGGAAGCCCGTCCCGGGAAAAGAGGGGCTGGAACCGAGCCGGAGCTATAGGCTCCCCCCTCCCCCGGTTGCTCTCTCTCTCTCACGACAGCCGCTCTCGCCCCCGCGCCCCTCTCCTCCGCGGAGTTGCTGCCAGCCACCCAGCCCGACCCGCGAACCTTGTTGAAGGCAGGGTCGCGTAAAACATCGCAGCCCCTCTTGGTGGTCCAACTAGGTTTCCTCTCAGCAGGCGCGGCTCCTTCCATGCTGCTAGGTCGGCCAGTTGCGGAGCAGGGGAGTCGGTGGTGGGGCCGCACTGGTCGGTGGATGATGCCTGGTGCCGGTGCTTGACGTTTATGGCCTGGGCTGCTGAGGCGGCCGCCTCTTGGGAGGAGGAGGAGGAGGAAGAGGGAGAAGGAATAGAGCTTCCACAACTGCCTCCTCCTCCTCCTCCTCCGAGGTCAGTAGGGCATGGGAGTCGCTGAGTCATTCCGGAGGAGTTGTGGGAGGCAGCCGCGGAGGCACTTCGCGTCAGGTGTTTCCCCGGCGAAAGGGCTCAGCCGTGAGGGGTGCAGACCCCTATCGATCTGCGTGGCATCGTTTTCCTTGCCGCACCTTAGGTTCACACCTGCAGTACCTAGTACGTGGGAAATCTAGTATCGGTCAGGGTGTGAAGGTAGTTTGAAGGCTGCCTCGTGAAATAAGCGCTTTGGGCGAATATTCAAGTGAGGTTGAGTGCATGGTGGTGTGTAAAAAGGTAATTAAATTAGTTAACAGTGACCGTAATTTTAGGATAGAGGGAAAAGAACGGGCCCTTGCAAGCCTTTCTGGTCATGGCTGCTGAAAAGCAAGAGTATGATTTCTTGTTATGTTGAGATAGGAAGCAAATTAAAAATATAGGCCTTAAAACAGGTTTGTGTTTGTTTTTTTTAAACGCAGATATTCTCAGAAACCTACTCTCACCCGCACTTGAGCTAGTCTTGCCTATTTTGTGACCTTATCTCCATCCGACCATGGTTACATCTGCTATAAATAGTAAAATAAGGCAAATTTTAAGTTCTGTGTACAAAACGGTGGCGATTTTGAAACAAGAACTGTGTGAGAAGGCTATTTGTATTCACATATTAATTCATGAATAAAAGAATTGTATGCATTTAATTGCTTTACTATTTGAACATATTTTCTTTCATTGCACTTAATGCACGGCACCACTGTTTGCAAATTAATACAGTAATGGCATAACATGTTAAAAGATATTGTACGGCCTATTTAAAGTCTATAATACTTGGCAACCAGATTCAGTTTGAATACTGTATATTTAATATGTGGTTAACATCTCTTCATTAGGCAAACCCCTTGAAGTGCTAATATTTTGTAAAGTACAATATGTGAAGAAAAAAAACTTCCACAAAAGTTGTTTGGGCCAACTTCACTTTAGACTTCAAGGATCAGCCCTGAGAACTGCATGGATATTTGACTTGTAAGATGTCAGGAAATACCTCTTGTACTTTCTGGAAAACATTTTCTATCACATCATTTTATACTATACCTATGATGGTGTCAGCTTACAACTTAACTATGTGCTGCTGAGTGTGTTAAGCTTGCAGAGACATCAAGGGCATTATGAAAGTATGGATTCTTCAGCACACATAATTTATCTGTAAAAAGAGCCTATAGTATTTCTAGTGTAATTTAAAGATTGTTTAGCTTATTTAATTCTATCATTTCGTCTATTCCCCATTTCCAGCAAAAGCAAACTCTTGTTACAAAGAAAATCTCTTGCCTTTTTATTTAAAAGCAGTTCTAGAACCAACCATCTTTTTTCCTTTAGTAAAAAGTAAGTTAAACGGATGAGGTAAGAATGCTTTTACAGTCCAGTGTTTAGTTGTTTATCACTAAATAGATCGCAGTCTTGATGTATTTGTTTATGTTGCTACATTAAATTCAGTGTACAACCTTGCTCCAATGCAACAATTGCTGAAAAACAGAGGATGTTTCTGGCTAGGTTCTATGCTCTGAATGACTATTTGGTTGAGTCAGCTTTCTAGCCATATGAAATAATGAGTGCCAGGCTCAAACTGTTAATCCAGCAACAATTACCGTATAACATGGGGATATACCTCTGGCATTAAAGGAAGCAAAAAAAGTAGCACTGTTGTGCAATGAGGTACAGTAGTTCATTTTATCTTGTACCCTGAACTGTTACTCTTAGTCCCAATAGTAAAAGGATGCCTTGTTCCTTGAAATTGAGCTAGCTGATCTCTCAGCATGTTGCATATTCTTACCAATATGCAAGCAAGCCTAGATCAGCACATTGTACAGACTTTAACCTTCAAGTCCAAAAAAAAGGCAAAATGTTTTCTTTTTTATGACAAGGTTTTCAGACTATACGGACCCAATCTAGCACAAAGGGCAGGTTATTGCTGTTGTGAGCAATCCCTTAAATTGAGTATAAATAGATCCAGCTATGTCCTTAGATAAACTTCATTAAAAGAATCGGAATTATGTAATTTCATTTAATGAATCAGCAGGAAAGGTTATCTTTCCCAGGAGAGCTATTGTTGACAAGACCAATTTAATAGTAACATGGAAATAAATTCTTATAAGTGAAAGATCTACTGAGAGTTGGTTAACTGTGTTAAAAATAACTGCATTGGTGTAGTGGTTAAGGTGCTAGCTAGAAACCAGGAGACTGAGTTCTAGTTCTACCTTAGGCATGAAAGCCTGCTGGATGATTTTGGGCCAGTCCCTCTCTCTCAGCCCAGTTTACCTCACAGGGTTGTGAGGAGAATAGCAGGAAGAAAGAATCTTACATATTTTTGCCGCCTTGAGTTACTTATAAAGTCAGAATAATAAATATTAAAGTATTTTGCAAACTGCATATATCTTTTTTAAAAAAGATGAAAAAGTGAAAAACCTGGATTTCTTTCTGCTTGAGTAGTTTATTTTTAATAAAATACCTTAAGGGTGTTGAAAAAAAAAATCTTGGAGACTGCAAAACTGGCTTTACTATTGGCAGGGGCTAACCAAAAAGGAATCAACTATAGGAAAATGTTAAGTCCAACTTTTACTTCAAGGGGATTGGAGGAAAAGTCTGGCAGGAACTTCAGTATATACATTGCAATCTTCCCAAATCACAGAACAGAAGATTCAAAAGAAAACCTTTCCTAAAGGTGTCACTTAATTTGTCTTGAAAAGTAGCCTGGATGTAGGTCACAAAACAATAAAAAAGGGCTCAGAAAGAGAATAATTACAGTGCAGCAAAACTCAAGCTTGTCTTCTACCTTTCCTCAACTGATAGAACATACCCAATACACTTCCTCTTAGTTTTATTATAGCAGTCCTGCTTACTCATCAGACCCAACAAGGGACTACAAGAATGCAAAGCCGTGAAAAGAATTAATGTAAAGAGTAAAAAAAAAAAACCAGCAGGGTTTAGACTTAAAAACTAAGCTAGCTGACCTATATCTTGCTGGCAGTGCTGAGGACAACTGAGAATGGATGTTGTCCATTCATGTGCACTAAAGATACTAGGACTCTCCAATAGCATGACTGGTTTGATGAGAATGATGAGATACAGGCTCTACTTGTTGAAAAGCATCACTTTTATCATGTCCATCAGAACAACTTATCATCTGCCAAGAAAAACGCCTTTTCCATTGCTTGTGGGATAGTCCAGAATAAACTGCATAAAATGCAAGATGCCTGGCTGAGCACCAAGGCAGACAAAATATGCTAATAGTAAAGACTTGAAATGGTTTGGTTAAGTCTTTAGCACTCCCTGGAAACCTCAGTCTGTTGGGAATACCAGTATAGATAGTACAACTTTCATTACAGAGAAGACTCAGGTCCTGCAGAACTGGGCTGAACACCTTATAGCCATCCTCAACCAACTGTCATCTATTAATAACAAGGTGATAGGGTTCCCCAAGTCAACATCAACAACACCATGATTGACCTGCCAGTAATAGCATCAGGAGCTAAATCGTGGACTTTATGCAACCAGTGTTGTCTTCATGAAAGTCTTTAATACTGTCAACCAAAAAGGCCCATGGAGGATTATGTCAAAGTTCAGCTGTCCCACCAAATTCAAATGATATTCCATGTTGGCATGATGGCCTAACTGCTGGAGAATCCTCTATGGCGTTCCCAGCTACCATGTTAAACATGGCTGCTTGCTTGCTCCCACACAGTTCAGCATGATGTTTATTGTCATGCTGAATGATGTCTTTCAGAACAGTATCAGCCTTAAGTTCAGAGAGGATTGGAAACTATTGGCAAAGTGAAGGAAATGGCTCTGGGAAATTTCCTCTTTTCTGATAACTGAGCCCTAAATGCTGGCTCAGAGCCAGAGATGCAAGTCAGTATCAATACATTCTCTACGGCTTGTGACAACTTTGGATTCACCATCAATATGCAAAAGACTGAAGTAATGCATCAGTCTGCTCATCGTGGACCACACAGAGTGCTCAACATCGCAGTCAAATGGCAGAAACACAATGGACCAGTTCAATTACCTTGGCAGCACCCTGTTGCCAGTAGTGACCATTGATCCATAAGTTAACTATAGAATAGCGAGAACGTATTCAGTTTTATATAGATTGTCGGGGGGGGGGGGAATATGCAAATAATGCTTACATTGTAAACCACCCAGAGACTGCTGTAAAGTGCTATAGAGCAGTATATAAATCTAAATTCTAGTGCTATTCACTACATTTCTACCACATTTTTCCACCCTTTTTTATTTTTTTAGTTAGCATTCTACTAAGGTATACAGATTCATTTACTTGTTCCAATCAGTCCGTTTTCACGATAAAGCTGAGTAACAAAAATCTGGAATAAAACAAAAGTGGATCATTTGAACAAAGTTGTATTTGTTAAATCAAAATATCCATTAAATCCAAAATTATATAATTGATGTCAATTACATCATTTAGTAGTTGAACTTTAATGTTTGTGTCACTTTATGTCAGTTGCAACATTAAAAGACATAATTTGACACTAATGGAATATATCATGTTCCTTATAATAACAAAAGGTGACTATCTTCCATATCTGCTTTCAGCTATTGTTATTCTGAAGTCCCATTTGGTCAATATCATGGAATGTGCAGAAAAAACAAAGTATTTTTTGCTTATCTGCTGTAATTGTCCTGCCATGAACCAATTTTATCCCTATGTAAACTCAGTAGCTGTGTACTGCAGATACAGCCTACATACATAGGTAGCTGATCCCCAGTTCAACAGTATTATTGTTTTAACTCTGTATGCTACTCAAAGTTACTGTTGTGAGATGGGCAGCCATATAAATCATGGTCCTGATTCTTGGATGGGAGACCAACAAGAAATCACAGGGATGTAGGCCGGACTGGAAAGCTGGAAAAA